CTTCTACTGCTAATACTACTACTACTACTACTGTTACTAATAATACTACGATTCGTTTCCTGTTTTTAATACTGTTTTCACCAATAGAGCCTGCACGGAGAACCACTGCTCTACTATCATCATGGCATGATTTATGAGTGCATTTATTTTATTTTTACCTATGTAGGTTTTTATCGATTTTTCGTCTATTTGTTTTTTCTTTTGAATTTTTTTTTCTTTGTAAAAATGTCTCAATGTTTTTTTCTTGTTTGTTTTGGTTGGATAAAGTTTTTTATTTTATGTTATTTGTTGTTGTTGTATGGATTGTTTTTTTTTTCTTAGAAAGTGTGTCTTGTGTTCTGTTATTGTTTCTGTGTGCGTGTGTTTTGTGTATGTGAGTGGGAAAGAAAGAGAAAGAGAGAGAGAGAGAGAGAAAGAGAGAGAGAGAGAGAGTGAGAGTGAGTACGTAACACATGTGTGTGTTCGTGAAAGTAGCATTGAGTTTAAGCCTGTCTTTTTTTTAAATGTTTTCATTATATTTAGCGTGATTTCAAATGATTTCTTGGATGTGTCGTGAAATTCTAAGAAATTATAACTGCTGTTGCAGCTGCTTTTGCAGCTGCTGTTGTCGCTCCTTTCTCCTATTTGCTATTTAAACTGTTTTTTTTTTCCTTTTTCTTTGAATTTACTTTATTAATCAAAAGCTGAGGAGCTAATTATTTATTTATTGATCGTTTTTGTAAACTGTTTTTGTTGCGGTTTCTTGCCGTATTTCTTTCTGATTATCACTTCTGCATATCTTTTGGTTAATTTAAAATACATTTTTTTTTCAATTTTTATTATTTATTGATTTATTTATTTAATTTTTTTTTCTGATTTGCAGCACGAAGAAGGAGTGGGACCCTGGTTTGAAAGGCAGCAGCACGTCAGACGCTCCGAACAAAAAATCGCCGAGGTTATCCAGCGCCGTAGCGTCAACAACGTCGCAGCCACAATATCCACTTCCTGCTAAACATCAACCACAGCAACAACAGCACACAAACATTCGTTCGTCGTCGTCGTCTTCATCGTTACATCAACAACAACATCAGCAGCAGCAACAGCATCAACAACAGCAACCATCAAACAACAACAGCACTAGTAGTGGTAGTAGCGGCAACAGCAGCAGCAGCAACAACAAAAGACAGCTTATTTTAAATGGCTCTGTTTCAAATGCTAAGGATGCAGTCAATCAACATTTTGAAGAATCCCTGCTTCTGCTTAAAACTCAAAGAGTAATTTTGCTTTTTTTGTTTTTCTCTTTTCTTTTTCTTTCTTTCTTTCTTTCTCTCTTTCTTTCTTTCTCTCTCTCTTTCTCTCTCTCTCTCTCTCTCTCTTTTTCTCTCTCTATCAATCTTTTTTCCTAATCATATTCTATCATAGAATCATATTAATATTTGTCTGAAGATTTATTACATCGCAATCGCTTTCTGTATTCACCTATCAATAGTTATCCACGTATCGATAGCTAGCTATTTGGCTTACTTACGTACATGTCTGGGCGCACATACAAATAGACAATAATAATGAACAATAATAATAACAACAACACTCGTGGTAATAATAATAATATTAATAATAATAATAATGAAAATATCTTTTTTGTTGTTGTTGACATTTTTGTCGTGTGATGCGTTCGTGATGAAACATGAAGCTGAGTTATGGAAAGTCTCAAAAAATTTGATGAGGTCATCCTAGGTGATGACAACGACGATGAAGATGATGATGAAGATGATGATGGAGATATGATGGAGATGATGATGTAACAGTGAGGTTTCTAATCAGTGGTATTATGGTGATGACGATGATGATGTGAGAGATAAAGAGAAACATGATTTTGATGATGATGACGATTCATGATGATAATGACGTTCAACAGTGATGATGATAATGATGGTGATGATGACGTTTGATAGTGATGACGATAATGATGACGATGATGACGAGGATACGAATGGAAAGGATGATGATGATGCTGGTGAATTGGCAGGCATTAACCTATTTTTGAGGCGTTCTGAAAAACTTATGAAATTTTTTCTTTCCATTTTCTCTGTACGTGTTGTGTGTATGTGTGTGCGAATGCAGTGACGGATCTAAGGGCCCTTTGCAAGTACTTTTGTAATAAAAGTCAAAAAAATGTCATCAACCACAGCCACACTGCTACCTACCAATCTTGAAAGTCGTGAAAATTTTGGTCCCTCCTGCCATAATTTAAACATTTTCAAAATTTCGGTCCTTCCCCTGTTAAAGTTGTCTACTAGATTTGCCACTGTGTGTATATGTGTGTGTGTGTATGTATGTTTGTGTGTGTGTTTGTGAGGGTTTGTATGTGCTTGCACGCACAAGTGTGGGTTTGTTTGTATGTATATTTATATTGTATATATTTTCAAACGTATGTTAATAAACTTTGTACGCACGCATGTTTGTGTGTGTGTGTGTACTTGTATTATTGTGTACGTGTGTGTTTATGTGAGCGGCGTGTGTACGTGTGCGTGCGTATGCATACTTGTCCATTGCACTTACTTTTAAGGTTTTTGATCGAGTGTACTAGCGGATGAACAAGCTTAAAGAAGTTAATGAGAATTTTCTAGAATAGAAACACGAATAATAATAATAATAATAATTAATATTAATAATTATAATAGTAGTTAGTAATAATATTATTAATAGTTTCATGAAAATGAAGATAAAAATCATTGTTTGCATATTTTCACAATTCTTTGTTAGCTGCTTTTCGTCAAGTATGTGTGAGCGCGTAATTTATTTATTCATTCTTTCATTCATACATTCATTCTTTCAATCATTTTTCAGTTTGTTTAGTCATTCATTCGTTCATTCATTCATCCATTCATTCATCTGTCTGTTCAGTAATTTTTTTACTAGTTCTTTCTCTTCTATTGTTTATTTTACCAGATATTCATTTATTTTTCACTCATTTTTTTCTGCAGTTCATCTAATTAGTCATTCATCATTCGTTCGTTCATTCATTCATTCATCATTCATCATTCATTCTTTCGTTCATTCATTCTGTCATTCTTTTAATTATTTTCTTTCTTTCTTTCGTTTGTTTTGTTTATTTATTAATCTTTTATTGTCATTATTGTCGTGATGTTGTTATTGTTATAATGACGTTTCAATGTTATTATGGTGTTATTATTATTATTATTATTGTTGTTGTTGTTGTTGTTGTTGCTGTTGTTGTTCAGTTCAGTTCAGTTATTGCTTCTGTGAGTTCTTTGCTGAAATTTTTTTAACTATTCGGAGTGATGGTTTCTGTGCGGTAGCCTAAAAATAGTTTGTTTATTGTTGTTTATGATTATTTATTATTATTGTTATTATTATTATTGTTTTTGTTGTTATTGTTATTTTTATTATTACATGCTGTGTTTTATATTGCCTCCTATTATTATTTAGATCAATCTTCTATGATGATGGCTGGGTCCTTTTAGTGCGTTGATGTTGTGTTGATGTTGGTGAAGATGACGATGATGTTGTTGAAGATGACGTTGATGATGTTGTTGTCGAGGATGGTGATAATTATGATTATGATGGTGATGGTGACAATTGTGATCAACATGATGTCGATCATGATTGAGATATTATAATTTGCATCATTCGGACGTCATAATTATCTTCATCATCGCCAGCGTCATCATCATTAACGTCGTCATCGTCGTTGTCATCATCATCAATGTTGATCACGTGATAGAACCACCTCAATTAGTCAGCCAGTTGTTTTAGAGAGAAAAAAATTCAATTTTTCTCAGAATTTGTTTACCGCATTCTTTTAAAAACAATTTCAAAATGTCCTCCACAGAAATTTTTCAACTTTTTGAATCAACTCAATTATTTATTCTATCTATATATTCACACGCAGTCACGCACACACACGTACACATACATGCACACATCTGTGCACACACACACACACATCTGTGTACACACACACACACACACACACACACATACACACACACATCTGTACACACAAATACATGCATGCACACTTACTTATATGTACAGTACACACATACACACATACATGCCTTTGGCACCAACACACAGCATGCTTGTTTACACATACATTCATATATACACATTCATTCATACACACATGCACGCTGTGTTTTGTTTTAAAAGGGCTGAATGATGACGTCATAAAAATATCATAATGACGTGAAAATGACGTTGAGAATTTTTAATCTTTCGCCTGGTATACGTTGTGTGATTTGATTTTTTTGGCATTCAAATGTCAGAGCTTTCATACCATTTCATTCCAATTTTTTGTTTTCTTCTTAGTTCTGGTTTCGTCTGCAATGAATAATATTTCAATTTATACTTGCAACATTTATTCATACACACGTGAAAAAAACACACACATCCACCACATAACACACAGACATACACACAATATAACAGACAGACAGACAAACACAGAGAGACACACGGACAAACAGATACATACAGAGGCACACATAAAAATCGAGCGAGAAGCATCTCACACATGACATTTCTCCAGATTACTGTCATCTGAAACTTCTTCATTTTCTCGATTTTTCTTCCAATTTTTGATGTTTTTTTCTACTCACACGAAAAATTAAAAATAATTTTGAAGATTTTCTCTCTCAACTCTTCCTCAGTTTTATATTTCTCAAAAGATATAAATTATTCATAGGTGGAGTTTGTAAGTTTTTCCAAGAACCTGCTCACTTATTTCTCCTTTTAACATCAAGAAACTTTTCTTGAACATGCTCAATTATTTTTCTTCAAACATTGAGAAATACGTTTCTTATCTAGCAAATTTGATTACAAAAAGTTTATTTGAATTTTTCTCCTTCGATATTTTTTTAACGTCATTTTATCCCTCCACCAAACAGCCGGATAACTCATCAGCGAACGACGACCGAAAAAATAACTCCTCTTCCTCTTCATCATCGTCTCTCCTGTTACTCTCTCCTCAGCCTCAGGATCTTCAACCCTCCATGCACCAGTGGCTCGGTCCCAACGTCATCAACGCCAACAACGAGTTCGCCGAACAGTACGAGAAGCACTTGCGGAAGATGACGTCATCGGGCCACGGGTTGAGAGATGGAGGAGGGGGCTACTCATCACGTGACAGAGGCCTAGAAAGACCCTCTTCATCATCCATGGACATAAATAGGGAAGATTACAACAAAAACAGCACCATGCTTCCTCAACACTACCAGCAACAACAGCAACAACTTANAG